TCTGATATGCAGATGATACCACTCTAATGGCAGAAAGTGAAGAGGAACTAAAGAGCCTCTTGAAGCGGGTGAAGGAGGAGAGCGCAAAAGTTGGTTTGAAACTCAACATTAAGAAAACTAAGATCATGGCATCCGGTCCTCTCACTACCTGGCAAAAAGATGGGGAAGAAATGGAGGTAGTGACAGATTTTATTTTCCTGGGCTCCAAGATCACCGCAGATGGGGACTGCAGCCAAGAAATTAAAAGATGCTTGCTCCTTGGGAGGAAAGTTATGGCAAATCTAGACAGCATACTAAAAAGGAGAGACACCACCCTGCCGACAAAAGTGCCTATAGTCAAGGCTATGGTTTTCCTAGTTGCAATGTATGGCTGTGAAAGGTATACCATAAGGAAGGCTGAGTGCCGAAGAACTGAGGCCTTTGAATTGTGGTGCTGGAAAAGACTCCTGCGAGTCCCTTGGACTGCAAGGAGATCAGACCAGTCAGTCTTAAAGGAAATCAACCCTGACTGCTCTTTAGAAGGCCAGATACTGAAGATGAAACTCAAATACTTTGGCCACCTGATGAAAAGGAAGGACTCCCTGGAGAAGACCCTGATGCTGGGAACAATTGACGGCAAAAGAAGGGGACGGCAGAGAATGAGGTAGTTGGAGTCACTGAAGCAGTCGGTGTGAGCTTGAGTGGACTCCGGGGGATGGTGGAGGACAGGAAGGCCTGGAGGAATGTTGTCCATGGGGTCGCAATGGGTTGGACATGACTTCGCGAATAACATAACATCTGTGCATGTCTAGGGAGAAAGAATCTGTACCTTTTTCGAACTAAAAGGATTGTGCCATTAGTTAGCTAGGAATACACAATAGAGGCAAGAAATGGAAGCGGATGAGTTGCTTGTACCTAGAGGGAGATGCTGATACTTGGCAATTTGGTACTGTTTATAACTGTTGAATAGTATTTTGATAGAATATTTTGGCTATCTTGCTGCCAATGAGTGAAACACCCACGTGAGAAAGTCTTGTCATGGTTGAGGCTGATGATGGCCTTGGAGAGACAGCAGTGCATGGGCCCTGATCCATGTAGTCATAGAGCGCTGGCTGAAGGAGGGGTGTTTAGATGAGGATGTTCTGTATTCTAAGGGGAAACCATCAATATCAAAAGAATGTGTTTCTGGAATTACTGATCTCTTCCTTGTCTCTCCCTCAGGTCTACAAACGGGCAAAAGCATTGGACCAATCTGACAATGACATGTCTGCTGTGTACAGGGCCTATATCCATTAGGCTACCCCATTTATTGTTAATATCATGATTATTAATTATGATGCTGATGAATACTGGGTTTTAACTCTGGACCAGTCCATCTCTGTCTGTCTGTCTCTCTCTCTTCCACCCCCGCCCCATTTTCTTTTTTAATACAAAAACTCTTGAGATCTGCCGTGAGGGCAGTCGCTACAGCAAACCTTCCTGTGCCAGCAGCAAGAGTATGAGGAAACAGGGCTGGATCATCGCCATCTTTACCACATGCTGAGAGTCATGGGATGAAATTTGTGGAAAGTGATTCTGGCCAGAAAATCTGCTGCTTGGCTTCTTCTGGTTGTCATTTGTATGAGTGTCCCCAAGTTCATTTTTTGTTTTTAACTGCTGTTTTCACTTTGCTGTGGGTAATACATATGTTGGCATCTCTTGTGCTTTAGGAACAGTTAAAAGATGGATGTCTGGACTGCCTGTTACCCTGTACGGCCTTAGGCCTTGATTAGGATGGGAACCTGGCTCCTGTGTTTTTTCTTTGAGGAAATGATCAAGAAGGTGATGGGGCTTGAATCAGCAAGGCAGGTGGGGGTATTCCCCACCTCAACAACTCATTGGAATTGTTTCTGAGAAGAAAAGATCTCGGTCTATGTCACTGATATAGAGACAAGCTTTGTTTTAAGGAAACACAGGTTCCAGTGTATGTATGGGGACTGTGGTATACAGAAAGCATGTAGAGGATTTCCAAAAGGCTAACCCAATTCTGCACATTGCTGTGAGCCCCTTCATTTTTAGATAGCTGGTGAAACTTTGTCTTCCTTCCTTTTTAACTTGGAACACCTGCATAATCTATAACTGTTCATGTTTTCAGGGGGCTCCTTGGATTCATCTAAAGTTGTCAGATAGCCATCAGGTAAGAAGGTTGATCAAAGAGCATAGAAACCCCAACATTTAGCACCAGAATCTTGACTTCCAGATTTACCTTCCTGTAAAATTGGAAGAGGCCATGCCAAGTTCACTGTAAAGCCTTTGTTGTGATTAATAAACTCTGCTTGAATGATCCAATGGCAAAGCCAGCAAGCTATGAACTGATGAGGCAGAATCTACTGGTGAAATGGTGAATTCTCCCAGCAGCAGACAGATCAGGTAGCCATGCTTTGGCAATACCTAGCAAAATAAGCAGGGAGTGGCTTCTGCTGATAAGAACTGATCCTGTAGAAAATCCAACAAGATCCCACAGAATTCAGAAAGTCCTCCACTGGCAATGAATAAAGTCCAAGCCTTTTCACCCAGTAAATTTTGGTGACGCAGTTCCCTAACAAAACAAGTGGTTTCATGTGAACAATGCCTCATTCTCTCTAGCAGCCCTTAAACTTTCAAAATGGAATGTAAGACCAAAGGAAGGAGTTGTTTCGCAAGTAGTGGAGACAATGTGTACCTCTCAAGTATTAGTCTTTGAAGAGAGCCCCGTGCGCACACGTGGACTGCCCATGTGGCGGGCAATTAGGAATGCGCCGGCTGGGACACCCCTCTTGTTTGCATGCTGGATATTTTGCTTTTGCTTATTCCACATGGATAGACCCACCCTGTGGAATCAGTGCATCACAGTTTCGTGCTGAAAATATCACATGCACGAAATATCTAAAACTTCCGTGAACACCAACCAGCCGTGTGAGTGTTCTACTTTTGCAGCAGAACATGCTCCTTGTGCAGCTCTTTACTCCTATGATGGAGGCAGCCCTCCTGGAAGAGGAAGGGAGCCAATAGAGCACAGATTTGGCTGCGGCCCTCCGCTCATGCTTATGTTTTCTAGCACAGTCATCAAACCATTGCATTGCTCTGCAGTGGAAACTGTTGGGCAGTTGTAGCATGGATCTGCACGCCCAGCTCTTGTAAGGGACAGCAGCAGCCTCTTTGTTAGGAAGGTGCTCCTCTTAGGGATCCTCCCGCTGGCTGGTTTCTGGCGACGGCAGGTAGATCATTGTTCAGGCTCCTTTGCTTTCTCAGGGAGCCTCTGAATGTTGTTACAGAACCGGTGGGGAGGGAGATTCATCTTGCGAGACCAGTCTGTAGAAAACGTGAAGCCTCCCAACGGAACTCTCCAATCCCAGGACACCTTATTTGCCCTGAAGCGGAAAATCTAAACTGAAGTGGGAGTGACAGTTGGAGAGAGCCATAATGTCTTCCGTTAAAGGCCTCTCCCTGTGGTTTTTCTGACAAGGGAGAAGAGGGTGTGCCCCTCCCTGCCGGACTGTGCAGTTGCTGATACCCCGAGGCCGAGAGTGTGGTGGGGCTGCGCTGTTTCAGATGCCACTTCGGAAGGGAAACTGTATCTTGTTGGCAGCAAAATCTTATAGTATGTGGTGCCTTAAAGGTTTTCTGTGGCATCAACTTTTACAGGTCAGAAGTATGCTTGACTCAGAAGTTTTATACCACAAGATACGTGCTTTTAAGGTGCCACATGACTAGTTTCTGGGTATTTAGTTTCTCTGCTCCAGGAGCCAGTTTGTTCAAAATCCTTTGTGGCGTCTCCTCAAATTCCAGTTGGTGATAGTGCAGGAGGGGAAGGTAGATTGCAAGAGAATATGATGGAACTGGCTTAGTCATTGTCTTAATATTGTTGACAATACTGTAAAGTTCCTTTTTAGCAATGGCTTTTTTTTTGCTCCTTTTTAAAGAGAAAAATGTGACACTTGTGGAAAGCTTGTAAGAAAAAGCAGTTTTCTTTTAATTCCCTTTCCTTGGATGACCGATCTATAGATAATTAAGGTTGTGAATTTTTTAAAAGAAATTTGCCTTGTTTTTAATTAACGTTTGTCATTCAGAATAGGATGTGTGGTGATGATTAAATGGCAGAAACAGAAATGATTTTTTTCTTGTGCAATTAACAAAGCTACTGGCAAAAGGAAATAAAACCTTTCTTGGTAACACAATGTTGCTTGTCTGTTCCTAAAATCTCTCTTCCCTCTTCTTCCCCTCACCCACTCCCCGCTCCAGTTGGGTGATCAAAAACAAAAAAATAAACCGCATTTCCCTTACTCTTATACTAATGGGTAGGAGATTGTATTCTGCATTAATATGGATTACTAGGTTAGTGCATTAAATACAGGGCTGGATTAACTCAAAGAGATGCATTTGTACTCCTTGCATTCTCAGCCCCCACTGGAATAGGCAGCAGCCTTTCTTGCCTGCTGTAAGATTAGCCTAGTAACGATTGTTTGGATCACCCAGCTCTTTTTACCCAGCCAGCTGAAGAGCTGAAATGTTTCCCGAGCAACAACAATTAGAGCAGTGTGGTGGGCGTCTTTAATCCCCACGTTCTTACTCCTAGCCTAAAGAGGATGACACAGCCAGCATATTGCCAGCGGCAAGAGCGAGGCTGAGCGGGCACACCATGCTCCACTGGGCAGAAAGTGATGGATGCACGCAGTCTGGTGGTAGCTGAAACAGGCTTGCTTAAATGAGCCCGCAAAAAAGGGCTGCCTGAAGGAAAAAGGCCTAGCTTGCCAGAGGGTGGCAGGAGAGGGGCAGAACATGCTGGCCCAGAATCTCAATGCAGGGCAGGCTGCCTTCCTCCTCCAGCGCAGCTTCCTTTCTCCAGAAAGGGGAGGGATGGAGTGCTTCATCCACCAGCCTGTTCGTTCACCTGCACAGCCGTTCTCATTGACTGGCTTCCAGGTTAGCACTTTAAATACAGGACTAGGCGAAATCACGAGCAAAAACAGAAACAGTAGGTTATTTAGCATTTACTCGGCCTCCTCTATCCTAGGAAGGTCAAAGCATGGGCAGGAAAGCCAGAACTGGCGTCGTCACACCTAGAGTGCTACGCTCCTGCAGCTACTTGGGATAGCACAGCACAAAGGACCCAAACCACCGCCTTTTGCTGCAGATGGATAAACTGACAGCCAAATTCAACCCTCCTAAAGTCACCAGCACTTCTAGCACTGATTTCAGAGAGCATAGCAAGGCATGGTCCAGCCTCTGCCCTCAGACTGGTGGATCATGCAGCTAGAAACAGCAGACCAGATTCCTTTGATTTAATCCAATTCAATTTCCTACTGGTATTATTCACGCCACAGCAAGAGAGTATGGCCCTGCTGGCAAATGCTTTCATCTGATTTCTAGTTGCAAGTTGTCTTGTAGGTATTCTCTGACTTAAAGAAAGGTTCTGGAGAACTTGAGCTATCTAGTGATTTTTGTGTGGTTTTCAAGAAATTTCTTGTGCGAGGATTTCTTGCTACTGCACTCTTAAGGCATGTCTTCCCAAACTGGTTAGGCTGCTTTTACATTGAACCGAAGCCAAACTCTTAACAAAGCTTTATTTTTCTTCTAACCTGCTGCCCCTAAAAAGACTTACATTCACAGCTGGTTATAGCCAGTTTCTTTCTTGAATGTCCTTGAAAAATAGGCCCACTTTTTTCAGCCCATTCTCCAGGGATTGTTTCTTGGGAAGGAAGCGGCTGCTGGGCAGTGTAGGGCAAGCCTCCAGAGAGAGGGAAGCAAAACCAATTTTTTGTGGAAAGGAGGAAGATAGATGATCTGCTTGGAAAACAGGGAAGGATGACGAGTTGAAAACAATGCCATTCTGAATCCAAAATAAAATTATGCAAATATCGCTGGATGTAACTACTAAAATAAAAGGTACAACTACTAAAACAAAAAGTGACCTTCTAGTGCCCTTTCCAGACAGCAATAGGAAAGTGCACCCGTTTGTTGCAGGGCAGCTTTCACAGCAGCTACGCCTTCTCACAGTCCCTGCTAATGGCCACATGGAAGCAGTGAGAACAAACTGGCCTCCCCACATCAAGCACCTGTGAGGGTTTCTACAGACAAGTCACACAGCAGCTGTGGTCCAGCTGTGGGGAGGAGGCGGGGGGCTCTGTGACCTTGAGCAACATTACTGGGTTGGGGATGAGCTTGTAGCCGCTTGCCTTCACTTCTGGCCATGTGTGACAGCACGGGTCTTCCCCAAGGGCTAAAAGGGTTGTAAATACCCTTGATGGATTAGCCTAGGCTTCAGGTGCCCCAGCAGCCAGATAGCCTCTCGTCCAGCTGAGCGAGTAACTTTAGCTTAGCCTTACCTGTGCAACAGACTAGCTGCAATAATACAGTGGTGGTGATGAGGAATACCTTGTGCCTCTCAAAAACTGGGGGAGAAATGGAGGGAGGGAAAGAGAAAAAGTAAGCCAGTTTTCTTACAGAGCCACACCACAGAAGGGAAACACTGAAAACTTCCAGAAATGCAAGAAAGGCTCCTACCGGAAGAGCTCTTTGGACAGCTGGACTGTCTCCACACTCAGAGAAGGAAACATGTCACATTTGTATGCAGCAGCCCTGGTGTTCCCTAAAGGGCCCCCCTTTCCCAACTACTGGCTGCTTGCTGGTTTCCCAGGTTTTGTGTAATTTCTCCCAAGGCACACTATTCTAAGGTTGATCTTTTTTACATTTGGAAATTGCTGCTTTACGAGCCCTGAGAGTTTCTCTGAAACAGAATGTAGCCTTCCAGCTTAGAGAGATCCATCATCCTTGGTGATAAGGTAATCATAATCTTTCATTTGAATTCCTTTTCTAACAATCCTCAACATGGAATACACTTTTTCCATAGCGGCAACTACTCTTTGGCCCATCAGCAAGATCAATTAGGGTGGTGGGTACCAAGGGCCAACCCCTCTCAGTGGTGTGGGAGCAAGTTTTTCCCATGGGAAAAATGTTCTTACCCCTGGCTTTTAAAGAAACCCCAAAGACCAATCTGTATTTAGGTATGTTAATAAATTTAACAAGTTAAACTTTAACCGCTGCTAAGCAGAGAGTTAAATGGAATTGCATGTTTGTGTATTGTGCAATCTTGAGGGGACAGCATGCCCTTAAAGCCAGGGAAAGAGACAAAGAGATGTGTAAAGCTGCATAGCAAGAGCTTTGGATCTGCTTTGGATGCAGTCCACCTTCGGAATATATAAACAAGATGGGCTAACATCAAAGGAGATTACAGAACTGAGGAAACGGCAGGAAAAGGCAACAAACATTGTCCATTAACATGAGGACAAATTACAACACCTGGGATTGTTTAGCTTAGGAAAACAGTAAGAGGAAGCATGTTGTGAGCCGCCTCGAGGCTTTGGCGAATGGGGCGGCATAGAAGCTTCCTAAATAAATAAATAAATAAATAAATGATATTGCTGTGCAGAACATCGCGATAGGTCGGATGTGACTTCATGACTAACATAAGAGAAAGGGAGAGGGCGACATTTTTCTCCCTCTCCCAAAATACCAGGATGCAGGGTCATCCCAGAAAGCTGACGGGATTCAGAGCAGAGCCAAGTATGTAGTCCATTGTTACACTATGGACTTTGCTGCCACAAGTTGAAGTGATGGCCACTGATGTGGGTGGCTTGGAAAGGAGATGGGACGCATCCCTGCCGGGTGAAGGCTGCCCGTGACAACTAGTCCTGGTATCTGCCACCTCCAGTATCGGAGGCAGTGTGCCGAAGTACCCCCGTCGCTGGGGAGCATGGGTGGGAAGGTGCTTTGGCACTCATGTTCTGCTTGTGCGTTTCCTGTGGGTAGCCACTTGGCCACTGCGAGAGCAGAATGGGTTTTCAGTAAATTCAAAATCTATTGACAGCTAAGTGTTCAGCTTCTGCCCTTACCAATAGCTGCCATGTTCAATGGAAACCAGAAGCGGCAGTCTGGAATGCTGGAAAATGAAAGTTCTGAAGAAGCAACCTGGAGGTCTGAGTGGCGCAAGGCTTGCCAATGGTCCTCCAGGTTAAAGCCACGTGGGCCAATAGTCCTGAGTCTGCTTCCAGAAGTTTTCCTTTTACTACTCACACTTCTGTAGTTTCTTCTTTGGAATGTTCATTTTCTGCCATTCCAGGCTGCCACTCTTGGGGGCTATCGAATATGGCAACTATTGGTGAAGGCAGAGGGGAAACTTTCAGTAATAAATATATTTTAAAGGATTCTAACTATTTTAAACGGTGTTTTAAATATTACTGATTTAAAATACTTTAAATGAAGTTAGTTCATCTTCAATTATTTTAATTATATATCAATTATATTTAATATTAGCTATGTTATAGCAGGTTCATAGAAGAAGCCTACCACTGCGTTCTGACGTCACTCGCTCGTGAACCGTGTGACGCCAGAGCTCCATGCGCGGCGTGCCAAGGCCTGGCCAATCCGCTGCGCCGACTCTCCCGGTTTCTAGGGGAGGATGTGCTTTCTTTTCTGTTAGAGCGTCTTCAGTATAGAGACCGAGGTCATAGCGCCACCTATTCTCAACTTCCAGTACCAATGGAAATGTATCCTCCCCTGTCATAAATGCCTAGGATGGTGGAGCACAGGAGAGCCCGGAGGAATGTTGTCCATGGGGTCGCGATGGGTGGGACGCGACTTCGCGGCTAGCATGGCATAGCATAGCATAGGAACTTCGCGGCCTCCATGATAGAAGGGCAGACAAAGCCTACCTACATCGCATTAGAAGCTAAGGGTGGATGGGGACCGAGGCCCAGGGCGGCCGCGCCGAAGCGCTCCCGGAGGCTGCATGTTTATCTAAACCGCCTCGATCTCTATGGGTGCTTAAAAGCCGAGACAACGAGAGGCTGGGCGCGGCCCTTGGGCGGGCCGTGGGCGACGCTCAGCCAATGAGAGCGGCCCCGTCGGGAGCGGCAGCCCAATGAGGGAGGAGGAGGGAAGAGCCTGCGTTCAACGTCTCGCCCCGGGCGGACGGGCGAGCGGGCGGTGTGCTTCTCGTGCTCGTGAGGGATCGCTCAGGCGAGCGGAGGACGGGAAGAGGCGCGGCGGCGATGAGGATGGCGGCGCTGGCGAGCGCGGCGGAGCGCGCTGTACTGGTGAGAGGGCGAGGCGAGGCCGGGTTGCTATGGTGACGGCTGCCGCCGCCGCCGCCGGGAGGCCCGTTAGCGGGGCGAGGGAAGCCGGGGCGGCTCTCCGAGTCGTGACGGACCTGCCCCGACTGAAGCTTCCTTTCGGCGTGTGAGGAGCGAGTAGTGTGTGATGCGCCACCCTGCCGTCATCAGATGCGTTCGCGTATGACGTCACGCAGGCGGCGGGCGCGTGACGTCATCCACGCCGCCTCAGGAGCGCGCGTGGCGTTCCTCGCGGCGGCGCGGGGGGGGGGTTGCTTGTGCTTCCGTGGCGCGCAGTGCCGCGCCCCCGCCCCCCCCCCCCCCCCCCCCGCATTTTGGAAGGAAGGCTGCGTCTACTTTAAATATTTGGAAGCTACTTTTGACCGTTTTTATGCGAGGCGAGCCTGTCGCGTGGTTTTAGCAGGCGTCTTGCCTGGCGTTCACACTGACCTTGGCTGCGTTACGGGGGATGAGAGGCTGCTGGCTTGTGAACTGGAACTCTGATTTTTCAACTTACTTTTATTATCTCATAAATAGTACCCGCATTGTCGGTCTTATCCCCAAAATGGTGCTTACCAGACAGACATGCAAAATGTTGGGCGTCCCATCCTTTTTTGAGAGTATCTCTTTAATTGGTGAGAGAAACTTAAGGATAGACCGAGGACAAAGAGTATTTTACACCATTGATGAACAGTAAACAGTGGATAAGGAGCATTCTCCTATGATGGATTCTTAGACTGGTCACTAGATTCTAAGGATATTTGGAAGTAGATCCTAATTTTCTTATTCTTTAAACTGGCCAATTGAATCTGCTTTTGCTGAAATTGTGGTCAGTAAAAAAAAAAAAAAATCAGAGAAAGATAAACAACTGAAGGACCTGTGTGGTTTGTTCTCAGTACAAGTTACTATCAGGACAATAGCGCAGGTGACAGTGCAGAAGGTATAAAGAATGAGCAGCCCATAAAAGGAACTCAATAAGGGCAATCTACCAATGGAAGGATGGTTTTTCTTGATATCAAGTGATTTACAACTGGAGAAATCTTTTCTATCTGAGTGTAATGAAGTTTTAACTAGAATGTTTAATGCTCATAAAATCATTGGTGCAAAAGGTAATAATTGTAAATTAAAATAAACTGACTGGCAAGGATTATAAAGTCCCAAGAAGAGTGGTAAGCAAGAAGGGGCTTAATAATGCTAGTAATGTAAAGAGTAAAATATTTAATTTTAAATATTATTTAATATTAATATTAAAATATTAAAACAGCCTCAATGGATTTTGAGAAACTTTGAGCTATTAGCTAAAGAGCAGATTGTAGAATCTGATTTGAAGCCCAGAAACAATTCTAGGAATAATGATTACAGAATTTTGCTGTTACTGAGCCAAAAACATGTTTACTGCCAATTGCCCTTACTTGCTCGTCAGGGGCAGGATCTTTGGTCTCTGTGTTAATCCAATGGAATATCATCACAGAAGAAGTTTAAAAATGGTAACAGCTGGACCTGTGTCCTGATCTGCAGAAAGTTGTCCTTCTCCAGCTACCTCAAATCCACTGGGTTTTTATTTTAGCTGGAGCTAAAATACCTTAGATAAATACTGAATCAGGTCTTCCCTAACTACTTTACCATAGAGGATATAATCCACATAGACTATTTATATTTCAGCTATACCTGTGCTCAAGCAGTGATTATGCATTAAGATCACAACATAGCCTCCTCGATAAGGATCAGAAATCAAATACCTGTGCAGAACTTACGGTGTATACGATTTTGCAACATCCAGAGTGGTGCAAAAGAGAGTAGGCAGTTAGCCCAAAACAATCCAATTTCACAGATCCATTTGTGGCCCATGAATCGCCCACTCTTGATGAGGCACATGAAAGGACCTCTACTTCTAAAGAACAAGCCGGCCAACAGGCGTCACATATTCAGTGCCGCATACATCGTAAGGAAGTCAAACTGCATAATATTGAGGAAGAAGCCACCCCAGACCCTTTCTGGGCATTGACCCTAGAAACACAAAATGGGATTTTGAGGAATATGGTGTCTTTGAGAGAACTTCTGTTAGGAAGGCAGAACAGGTATGGGGAGGGGTTGTGTTAGTTGTGACGAGAGAGAGTTGAATTTTAATCTGCTCAAAAGTGATTGAACAACTTTGGCAGTGGGAGGACATTTGTTGGAAATGGCCTTAAGAAGAGAAGATGTGCCTGGAACTCAGGTACCACCCAATAAAGGCATTTGGCCCTCCTGGGGCTCAGGAAATTACAACAGAATATCAGCCACCTAAAAGGAAATTGATTTACTTTCCCAAGAGAAACTGTAAGTGTCCCAAGGTCCCCTTAAGCGGGTTTTGCTCAAGTTGACCAAAAAAATTCATCATAATGCATTCTAGATGGCCCTTCTTTCTTGAATGTTGTAGGCTGGCCAAACGAAGTGGTAGATCCCCTCTTTGTAGAATGTATCAAGAAGTATGATGTTTAACTTCTCCAAGAGCCCTGGGCAAAAAGATTACTCGATAAATGGTTTTGCCTTGTATTCTTTGGAAGCAACTCCCAGAACTAAAGGGGGACAGACCAAAGGAAGTCTGAAAATCCTGTTGCCTACCAATATTGGGAATTCCTTCATTAGTCTTGTGCCCCAGACCTCCCTGACCATAATGTTGATTTTAAAGTGTAGAGTGTTTCTAAATGCCACTGCAAAGCATATGGCATAGAGAAACACCCTACATTTTAGGCAAGTGCAAAGTTAAAAAGATGACTGGAAAGAGTTGGAAGGAATATATTAAGAAACTGCAAGATTTGCATGCAGAGTCCTTAATGATGGTGGTTTGTGATTTCAACTCTCAAATTGGTCAGAATGATGCTGCCTTGTATGCCTCCTTCAGAGGATACCCCCCTGTAGTAGAAGAGAGCTGTCCACTGCCAGATAGGGCTACATTGGTCTAAGCCTTGTGAAACTGATAAGCAGATTTGACCTAGCAATTTTGAGTAAAGATGTAGCGGATGAGGGAAGGGTAAATTTGCTTTTTGGCAGGTTCAGGCACATCGGTGCTTGATTAGAGCATAGTTTCTTTTAATTTCTTAAATAGAGTAAGGGGTGTAAGGGATGGGTTACCACATCGAGAGTGACCGTCTATCCTTAATTTTATCCCTAAACTTGGAAAACTGTACTGTGCACACTATTTATGATTTATGGTTATTAATTTTTAATTAAGAGATTAAAATGTATTCTGCACACATCAGGTAGATTGCTAAATTGGATAAAGCAACACCTGAGATACTCTATTCAGAAAGTAGTCTTTGTCTTCATAATGCCATATTAAATGCAGTCTCCCCTGAAACAGTAGTAGTATGATTGCAAGATGTGATCTCTCACCTCCAAACAATTTTGACACACAAAAGGATGTAGGATAACCTTTTTAGAAATATAGAAATAAAGTGAGTCAGAAGCGGCCCTCAGGCCATCTTGTCTGACCCTGGGCTCCAGCCAGTTCCCCTCATGTCATCTCCAACATGTGGTTGTCTAATTTTTCCTTGAACACTCTCGCTGATGGGGCCTCAACCACCTCCCTTGGAAGCCCATTCCACATCCTAACCATCTAAAAGCTGGCATGATCAAGATTGTATTGCCTCTAAACACTCCTTAGTGAGAAATTTAGGTGGTATAGAGAACTGAAACATTTTTTTCTCCACAAACTGCAGCCATGTTCTCACATGCTAAGATATGCTTGCTTCTGTAATAGCTGTCACAACTGTCTTCCTCATTCCCTCTGTGTTTGCATAAATCCCATTCAGAGCAGTGGCTTAAGGTTCTGAATAAGACACTTTTGTGCTCAGTCCATTGGAATCAAAGTAATGTGATGGAAGTCTGCTGCTTTGAAGCTCATGAAAACTATTAAGATCAGTAGATTAGATCTTACTGTTCAGCTCAAACTGTGAATGTCTGAGACAGACAGTCCTGTTTTTTCAGGAGCCTGAAACCCTAGAATACTTCCATCAGCCTCCTTTGCAATAGGTTTTCAAAGCATCTAAAACACTACCCACACTGATGGTACTTTTTAAATAAATAACAGATAAGTAGCTACCTGTATGCTGCTAACTTCCCAGAGCACCAAGGTAGCTTCCTTGTTTATAATGTAAATTATCCTTAGGCCTGTCAGTCTTTAATTAGTAGCTTAGCTTGCAGATCTATGCATGTTTCCTTGGCAATAAGCTTCAATGAACTCAACGAGACTTACTTTTAAGTCAGTATACCTGAAATTGTGCTGTAATTCAACAAAAGTAAGAACAGTTTTTAATTGGTGGCAACATGAATTAAGGAAACACCGTAATGTGTAGAAAAGAATATTTGGGTTCTGAGATATAATTGTGTAAGAGAATGGCAGAGAGCATGTGGCAGGGGACCTGTCCCCTGAGCGATGGCCAGGCTGCAAAGGGCCACAGGCCAGCAAGGTGCTTCCTGTTCTCAGCGTCTCGTACTGCTCCAAAGCAGCTCCCGAATGTTGGAGGATCCTTTGAAGTAGGAAGCTTACCTGATCTGAGGGAATGCAGCCATGAATACAAAATCACAAGCAAGTTCCTACTGGAACATTCTTGTTCTTTGGATCTAGGCCTCTGACTGATAATGGTTTTTTAAATGTCACTGTAAATCTTTCTGCCCATTTTTTGGATAAGGAACCTTTCTTGAGCTGGTTTGCTCAATGCAAGTCCTACTGTAGTTAATTTACCAACAGGTATCATGTTGTGTGAACAGACCTGTTTTATTAATAGGCAGATATGTTAACATTTAACCCATTAGTTAAAAGGCAGAACTTCATAGAGAGGCCCCAGTATTTCATTCAGTTGAGAGCCTGATTTGTAATGCTAACTGCTTCTTTGGAGGTCACAGGGCAAGGGGCTTACTATGCAACCCTCTGCAGGTTTAGACAGAACCAGGTCCTGCAACTCATCTCCAGTCTCAGCCAGCTGTGGTGGTCAGAGAATACTGGGAGTTGTAGGACTGTGTTCCGTCTAAACTGGCATGGATTGGGCCGTTATAAGCGCAAACGCAGCTTCTGATGTTTCTGCGGTCCACTAGCAAGCACCATTCATCATCCCTGCCCAATGAGGATGATTCAAAGGTGCATTCGAGCTCTGGAAGTAGAATCTCCCCTTTCACAGTATGGTGGGCTGTTATACAGATGGGAAAGCCTCTGTCTGAGATATCAAGTAACCTATGTGCACATCCTGCACAGGGAAACATATTCCTAACTCTCAGTTATGACCAGATAGGCATGTGCACCTGATGACTGTTAAGCATGGAAAGTCTTGACCAAGAGGGTATCTAAATCCAAGAGTCAGTTTATCCCTAAAGGAGTTCTCTGAAGTAATGAAAAAGAGCAGTGGGTGGCAGAAGTAAGATTGGCTTCCTGCCTGTTTCCTTAAAAGTAAACTAAGGCAGATTCCTCATGGAACTAGGTGCACGTTAATGATTAAAACAATATGGGGCTGTTAGGGATAATGAGATTCTGGAAGGACTTGTTTGTGTTCATCTCTTTTCAAGAAGAATGTCCTTGGTACCCTCCAGAAACTAATCTTTCTGTGACATCACCACACTTTAGGCACTGCAAAATGCACCACTGTCTTGAGGGATGCCCAGGATTTTGCTGCTAGGTCAACAAATGGATTTGTAGCCGCATTCCTAGTCATTGACATTTTTCTTTGAATCCACTGCTCCTAAAATTATCCGGAAAATTCCATCAGATTCTGCAGCAAGAAATGCCATGGTGTGAAAGTTGTTCCCACAGACATGGGAAAGTGCTTTGTGGATGGCTTATGTTGTCGAAGCTGGGAACAGGAAGTACGTGTGAAGAGGATGGCGGTGTTAGTCACAGGGAAGGAGCGAGGGCAGCCTTCCCAGTCTGTCTTCCCACTTTGCTGAATTGTAACTCCTGTAATTAATTCCCAGCCAGTTTAGCCAGTAGTCAGAAATCTTGGGAGTTGTAGTCCAAAATACTTGAAGAGAATCAGATTGGGGAAGACAGGACTAGGAAATATGCTGAGTTTAATTCAAGTCTTATTGATCACTGGAAGGTGCACCTGTTGAAACCATGAAAATTAGAACTTTTTTTTTTTTTTTTGGATAAGTTGTCAGTTTCCCAAGATTTCTACAAGAATTTCTGGCAATAGAAGATATAACTATGATGTGTAGTGCTTTGTTCTGTGTTTATAGCTTTGTAATCAAAAAGTAGCTTTTTTCTCAGTGCAGAGCTCAGGAAACCAGAGCCATTTCCCTCTCAGAACAGAAACACTGTGCACCTGACCCATGTAACAAAGGAGACTTTATGTGCTTTGCAGGCTCCTGTGAGGCACATGCTGCAGAAAGGAGGAAGAGGGCGTGCTCTTCACCAGGACATGAATAGAAGCCCCATGGTTTCTAGGAAAAAAGAAATGCCTATGAAATCTGCAATCATTTTAAATAGAAAATTATCTGCTTAACTTGCATAACCGCCGCCAGGCCAAAATGTATGCCCAGTCATCAGAGATCTGAAAAAGCCTTGAATGCTTTAATCAGAACCACCTCATCTCTCACATTTGTATGCAATAATGTGAATGGAGAAGTAGAGAAGATTGTAAACTGATAGGATTGTATTATGCTAGTATGTTGCCATCTGCACCTGCTGCCAGTTTATGTCTAGGCTCAATCCAGAGTGCTGATTTTAACCTTTAAAGCCCAAAATACTTTGTAAGTTGTCCTGAGCACTTGAAGCGATAGGACGGGGTATAAATGCATGTAATATTAAATAAATAAAATTTATTTAATAAAATGGCTTGGGGCCATCTACCTGAAGGAACATCTCTTCTTACTTATCTACCTAATGTCAACATTTGAGGTCCTTCTGACTTCTATCAAACTTGGGAACATTTTTATTATTGGCTAGAGAAATGGGACTTCGCATAGATTTAAATATGTTTTTAAATTATCATAAATGGAAAAAGAAGGGTGTGAGGGCTGACCCAGCGGGCTCGATGTTTTTGATGATGGATGTTGTTTGTAGTTTTCTTTTTGTTTTTTAGGATTATAATTTCTCAAATAAAACTTATTAAAAAAAAACATTTGAGGTCCTTCTGCAGGTATCCCAGTGGTGTAGAATGCTTTTTCCTGGGGAAGTTCCACTGACACCTTCATTATGGTATTTTTATATTATCTCAGGCATTTTAACTATTGTTTAGATCTCAACCCAATTTTATTTTTGCTCTTAGCTTTACTTTTGGTTTTATTACATGCTGCTGCTTGTCTTATTTTGCTTTTCTTGGATTTGTTACCTTGTATTTTACATGTTATATCACTTAGTTCTAAGGCAATTTAACAATGTAATAAATATTCCAAATAGCGTTTTATGAGATCTCTCTGTGCATCATGCTGTAGATTTATGAATATTTCACAGAAAGGTGAGCTACAAATGCCTAAATCTTTACAGAAGCATCTTCTTTCCATTCAGGAAGAAGAGTTCAAGTGGCTGTTGCGAGAGGAGGTTCATGCTGTCCTACAGCAACTGCAAGATATTCTGAAGGTAGAACAAAAAATAAATTAATTAAAAATCCTGTTTTCTCTTGACTTTGCTTTCCTCTGTTTTAAGTCTTCCATTTTACTAGGCTTACAAACAACTCCTTGGGCTTCTATTTCCAGTACTAAAAAGTGTGACATTTGCTGTAGTCTCCACTTTTTAAATTATCTCATCAATACTTAGACTGATAGATGGAATTAACACGGGCAAGTATAGCCAATAGCCAGGACCAAGCTCAGGCTTCACCAGGGAAGAGCCAAATGCATGTTCATCCTGCCAGCTTTTTAGCAGATATTAAGGGCCTGAGGGCTTGTCCTCAGGACCTGCCTTCTCGCCACACTTTCTACACATGAGGTTTATGAGAAGAATAACAACTGAGAGAAATAAATATTGAGAGCCCATGTGATACAGTGGTTAAGAGTGCAGGACTGGGACTCAGGCAATCTGGGTTTCAGTTCCTGCTTGGCTATGGAGCCAACTAGGTGACTTTGGGTCAGTCAGACTCTCAGCCCAGCCTACCTCACAGAGCTGTTGTTGTGGGAATAAGATGGAGAGCAGGTAGAGGAGAATGATGTAAGTTGCTTTCAGTTTCTTATAAGAAAAAAGCAGGATATAAATACATACTGTGAAGCCAGAAAATACCTGAGTTCATATTAATTTCCAGACATGGAAAGCTCTGATTAAAGGCTCTTATGAAAGGCAGTGGGTGTGTGGTAGCGTAGATACATCTGATTTATTTTTTCAGGGAACAGAATTGTGTGTCTTTTGTGTACGTTTTGTAAATTGAGTGTCCATTTTGAAAGGAAATCTTTCAAAACAGCCAATGCCCCAGCGCTTATTCCCCATTTCTTTTTTACCCAGGAGGCTTCACATCGGTTTACTTTGCCTGTGGGGGGCTCAGAGGGACCCATCAAGCAGGAGAACTTTATTCTGGGTAGCTCAAAGTAGGTACCAAGATCTTGGTGTGCAACATGCTTTGCAACTGTGGCCAGGGGGTGTGGTGGCATACGGCTGTTTCAACCTATGGATGCAGTAGCATTAAATAGATTTGAGGTAGGACTTGTAAGCAAATATCCATTCCCATCCCACAGAATTATGACCCTGTTTGTAGACAGTGACGTGGCCTCTTCCTGGATTGGGAGGAGCTGGCAGATTCTCTTTTCAACTTCATTTTGCCATGGCCTTTGATTAAAGAGCTCCTCTCTTTCCAGCCTGACCACTGTATTCTTAATCCCCAAACTACCTGGATGTAGTGTAATTCTGGAGAAGGGGAGGGGGGACACTGGTCCCCACTGGAGATTGTCCTGTTCTCACCAAATATCCCAGAATGAGATAGTATCTGAAAGATGTCTGGGCTACCAAAATTGGAACTGTGCTATGTGGTAACCTCCAATTCTGTCTGCCACCTTAGCAAATAAAACTTAAAAATCAGCCACTGACATCACTGAGCTAAAGGTTAGCCACCCAACCCCCAAGCATGGTGACAAAGTTCAATGCATACATCTCCAAAAAACAGGAAATATGCCCCCTCTTCAGGAGAGCTCTCCCACTGTTACGATTTATGGGACAAAGAATTCAGTTGATCTTCGTCCCTGCCTTTGCTTGAGATAAATTGAGTATGCTGGAGCAGATGATACACAGTGTGTGCTGCCTTATCTGGGGCAATGTGTGTTCCATAATCATATCCCTAACTAGGCCTAGTTTATGTTTCAGTTCTTATTATGGCAAAAAAAGATGTATATCTGAATAATAAACAGAGCTTGGATTGCTAAATCAGGTTTGTAGCTGACTGAAAACTAAGAAATAGCACAAGGCCTCTTTGTGATCTGTTGTGGAGAGGTTAAAGGGGGTAGTTCTGACCTGTTCTTTCAGCCCTTTGTATTTGTCTGCGCATGCATCGCCAGATGCCTCTGTACATCGAAAGCATGTCAACTGTATTAACGAGACTGCGTTTTGTTTCAGTGCTGACCAAGTGAAGGGAGTCCTGATGCTTCAGGGAGATGCTCTGTGCCAGGCGGTACGTTTATCTGCTGGGGAGCAGGTGGGAAGCTCCCTAAGGTACTAGACCAGAAAAGCCAATCTCTTTCTGCTTAAAACCTTTTAACAGGTTCGCAATTCCTACCCTTGTAGCAGTTAGATAAATAACTGACTGGCATTGTTTGCTTACAGGGACCTTTGTAATCTACTTTGCCTAATAATTTTCAAAACCTCCAGGAGAAAATGCCTGTTGTTACTGCTCAGGTAGTTCCCCTTTAGAACAGGAAGCTTCTTAGCCCTTTATCAGGCAAAGTGTGTTGCAATGTTACCTTGTCCAAGCATAGTCATTGCTTTAGGCTTTGGTTTCCCTTTCCTTTCAGCTGTGAGAGGTAGCACAATGCCAAACAGTGTATTGCAGATATTCATGGATGGTTAATAATACTGGGATGTCAATTCACCAGTTAGCTAAGAAAAACTGCCTTCTTTCCGGCTTGGTTAACTATCTCTGTGTTGCAGGTAAACATGGGTTGGTAAGAGTAAATTTCAGAGGAAGGTAATTTCATGCCTCTCCTGAACTCTAAGATTACGAATCTATATACTGTTTCACAGATAATTTGTGCTCCTGCAGCTTCTCACATCCCTTCCTGCTAAAGAGCAACTTAGTGGCAGTGGCCTCTAGAAAATTAACCTGCAGGAAGGCTGTCCTCTCAAGGACCTTGGTTTTCTTGCAGCAGTTAAATGGGTCATGTTTTGCATACAAAAGCCATTTATTTGTTGTTGTGACTCTCACAGCCTGGAGAACTAACTTGCAGTCAGCAGATGTGTCCAGTTTGAGGAGCCCCATTAGGATATATGGCTGCAGCCAGATGCAGACAGGCCTGCCTGCCCCCCTGCAGGGGGGTTTCCTGCGAAAAAGTCTGTCTCCAGCCTCTCCTTCTTAAGCAACTTTCTGTTGCATTCCATTGAGCTGCTATAGAGATGAAGCCTCTAATACGCTTCTGTTAAGGCTCTGTATTTGGTTTCAGTCATTAGCTGTTCGGTGGGAGCGAATGCACCCTGAGTGAATGCTGCTGGACTTAAGGTGGAAAAATGTCTGAGTGGTAAATGTTTTCCCTTTACCACCCACCTCTCTCCCCTTCTCAGGATATTAACTTGAAAATGCCCAGAAATAACCAACTCCTACACTTTGCATTCCGGGATGACAAGCAGTGGAAACTGCAGCAGGTATGTCCATGTCTCATCTCCTGGCAATCTTTGTGCAAAGCTCCTCCTTTAAAGGGAAAAAGAGGTAGCTGCTTCTTGGATGTGAAAAAGCAGAAAACCTTGTGTGCTGGGTGAGAAATTTGCAACATGTCTCCCTGTGTCCTAATTGTTGCACTGCTAAAGGACAGAAGCCATCTTTCAGTGTTGTTTTAATTCGTTGTACGTTTTCTTAGAGCTAGAAAGGAGGGGGGTGTATGTTTGTAGTTAAATGAAATATATTGATGTAAACTATTGAAATGTACAACAGGAGGATGTGGAAGTTGCTAGATGGATAGTGTTTTTGATGTAAACATACAACTTTCTCATTATCCTGTAAACTACAAGCAAATTAAGTTGTTTCCAGTACAGATGAAGGGCAGCCATATTCAGGCAAGTCACCTATAACCTGATTTAAAAGCTCCCTTGGTCACTTGGAGACACAGGTGTGAGTGGCCTATGGCCACCCAGTTCTCATTGCCTGGGCAGCCTAGGACTGATGGGAGTTGTGGAAGGCCACAAGGTGCCCACCTTGATTTATAGAAAGGTATTTTAGTCAAAAGGGGCACACACATTTCTAGCCTTTGTGGTGGGGAAAAGTTAAGAAATGTGTGGAGTATTTTCTGAAGTTTACAATCAGATCTACTCTCTCTGCTATAGAATTTTGGCTTTTGAGAACTGAAATTGGGCTTTCTAGTTCAATATTCTACATATTCTTGCAGGCTCACCTGGGAGCCAGACTAGATGATGCATTAAAGGTACAACCCTACACATGTTTAGACAGAAAAAATTCTGCAGCTCTTAGCATGCCCCATCCAGGATTACGAGGAAAGCACTATTGTCCTTTCCTAATCTCCTCATCCTCCTCCACTCCACGCCCAGTTATTGCTGAAATAAGGAGCAATATGACCCCAGATACAAGTATGAACACATTTAATGGCTCATCTGGTTTGGCCCCAGCTTCCAGCATAGTCATGTCATGAGTGGAGCCGTGTAAAGCCGGGGGTCAGACTAGATGGCCTGGGAGGCCCCTCCTGACTCTCTTTGTTTCTGTGTTTCTATGTTTCTAAGCCGCTATTTTGTGCTTTTTCAGATACAGGATGCAAGGAATCATGTCAACCAAGCCATCTACTTACTTACTAACAGAGGCGCCAATTACCAATTCAAGACAGGCTGCGAGGTCCTCAAGGTAAGCTAGAGATCTCTCTTCCTAATAGATGCTCCCTTCTGTTTCCTTGAGATGAGAGGCCATTTCACCTGTTCTGGAACTCTTGTCAGGAAGAGTTACTGCACAATGGTATGGGTAGAGTACATATTTATACATGCCAAACATGTGTGCTACCCATGCCATTAAGTTCTATTTGCTGCATCTCTTGTTATAATCACTCAAGAAAGGTTCTCCACCTGAGGTTTTGGAGAGCTGCTCTTGGACCTGTCAGTTCTGGGCTCGATTGGACTGTTGGTCTGACTTCATGTATAGCAGCTCCTTTACAGAAGAACTTTCTCCTCCTCATGCTCCAAAAATGCCATGAATGCTTAACATGTAATTAATCTACATAACTCTTTCCCCCAGGATGTCATGATGGCTGTTGTTAGATCACTGTTGGTCAGACTTCGCTTAGAGGCTCTACTTTGTTTTGGACTAGAGCTCTGAGACCCACTGATCAAAGCCAGGTTCAAGAGAGTGTCCAGGAGGGACAGTGGAACCCTGTAAGCCATATACACATACAAGCTATATTCACACACAAGCCTACAACTTAGAGTAGATCAGGGATTCTAACACCAAGAATTAAAGTAGTCAGAAGAGCTGCACAAAGTGTCATCAGTGGCACCCAATTCATGTCCATGTTTTATGAGCAATGAACATTGAGGCTAGCAGATTAGTGCAAGGCTGGCCATTTTGATTTTTTTAACCTGCCAGGCACTTCTGATCTTTTGCAAGTCACCTGCATTTGTGGCTCAGATGGCTTTTCACAAGATTACTGAATGAAGCCTCCAGGGACTTCAGATGGGCTTGCGGTTTGTACTTCTGCAAATGTGGCCTGGGCCTTTTTTATCAGAAGGTTTTCGGCACAGAAGGCCATTTTGCTTTTGAGTAACAGCACAAAGCTAGATGTTCAGATTAGCATAAGTGAAATTGCATGTGGGTTTTTTCTCTGTCTCCTCTCAGCTGATGGACGCAGTGATGTTGCAGTTGACAAGAGCTCGAAATCGACTTACCACTCCAGCCACTTTGACCCTACCAGAAATTGCCTCCGGTGGCCTCACAGTAACTATATGCTCCTTATGTCAGCTCCTCAGAAAGTGATGAGCATACCTCTAACATTTTGTGCCAGGACAATCTCAGTTGTGCTCACAGAACAGCCCTGACCCATCTTTGTACTTCTTCCCATTTAGCTTCCTGTACTACTTTCTTAGTTCCCATCCCTTGAACACTGAAATTCCTACCTGAGGTTGAGAATGTATTTCTTGAATATTGAGCACAAGCATGAGGACTAGAATGTTGCTTTAAAATTCAAGCTTAGGGAAACCAATCTCATTCCGTATTCTGTCTGCTGACTGTGAAGTAATTCTGTTAGCCTTCCCCAAGCAGGTGCCTTCCAGATGTATTGGACATTAACTCCCATCATCCACAACCACTCAGTGACAGATGCATGTATGTTGGCTTGCATAAAAACTGTGATCAGAACAACACATTTGCCAGTTCCCTTTGGCCAAGACTGCGTAGGAACAGGAGAAATAGGAACAAAGAGCATAGGAACACTTAAATGTGGCCCTCCAATGGCTGGATTTCTCCAGTTTTTTCTCACATGACAATGTAACTCTCGATACATCTGAGTTGAATCTCTAGAAAAGCATCCGCTGGTCTTTCCACAAGAGCTTGTCAGTGGTGGTGACAGAGATTCTAACTCTAGATGAGCCACTGGTTTTGACACAGTATGACAATTCTCATTTGCTTACAAAATAAACTTTTACAAGTCTACTCAGAAGTAAGTCTCAATAGGGCTACATTCTAGGGAAGCTTGTAAAGAGGAAAAAGTTCTTAGCATGGCCCAGGCAGCACAACTAACTAGAAAGGATACTGAGTGTTGTAGGCCTCCTTCCTGACTGTGTGAAGGACTGTGCCTAAGTTGTTTTTTGAGATATCAGAAGCTAAAAGAAGCCGAACAAAACCATCACCAGCTTTGCTTCAGCGACAGAATGGTTGTGAAGTGGTGAACTGGGGTTCTTCTTGTTACTTCTACTCTGATTAATACATACACTGAGAGCGAATAAGGAGTTTTCCCCTGCACTGGCAGTTTTCCAAGCCCCTTTAGTCAGGCCTGTTGAGAATATTCATCCTGTCCAGCAGATATTCGTTTATAAGTGCAATGCTGCACAAACTGCACTTCCAGTGGGTGAGAAAAGAAAGATTTTTATCTCTCATCCCAGCTGTCTTCTCTTAAATGAAGATTTTATTTGGGTGGTTCTATGGTTGAGATCCATTTATCTGATTTTATTGTTTGTTCCTGTTTGTTGCCAGTAACAGTGCTGGTTCTTGTTATTTATTAATTGTATTCTTATGATGTTTATTTTTCTATTTGTTGTTGACTTTATATTGCAACGTTATATGTTTAGAATTGCTTTGGGACTGCTGACCTCTCTCTCCCCACTCCAGAAAATGTTCACTCCTGCTCTGCCTCCAGATATCCTAGTGAATTTCTACATCAACCTGAACAAGCTCTGCTTGACAGTCTATCAGCTGCATGCACTGCAGCCCAGTTCCACAAAGGTACTGAAAACTGGCCAGACTGGTACTGAAAACTGGTAATCTTACAGCCAAATGATTAGTGGATTAGTTGTCAGCAACTTCATAACATACACAGCGGGAGAAGCAGGAAATGGGAACTCACACAACAGGCTTCAAGAGAACATCTGACTTCCTCTGAAAAACATGACAAAGGACAGTATTCGCACTGTTTGTGCGCACGTGCGCGCGCGCATGTGTGTGTGTGTCTTAGGAGTTCAGATAAAACAGATCCAGATAAAAATTTCTGCCGATGGTTAGAAGCATTTCTACTACTTAACCACATCACGAAGTGGATTTTATTCCACAAGAGGCATTTGAAGTCTTAAGCAATTTTATAAGAGTCCCGAGATGAGATCCATTTGTTTTGTTGTGTAGTCATCTGACCATCTCGAAATGGCCTCTGGGCCAATGTCTTAGGAGATCTTAGCGTTGCCTAGTCCAGAAGTGAGGAGAAGGCAGATAGTAGCCCACTCTGCACCCTCCTAGTTTCTGTTGGTTGACTGGGCAGTTGCAAAGCATAAAGGTTTCCCCTTTGTTTTTGCTTTGCCTAAGAGTCAGAATACATTGGCTGATTGGGCAGGATTGTCCTTCCTCCACCCGCTTCTGCATTTCAGTGTTAGAAAGAAGAGATTCAAGGAGATTCTGACCCTGCACTGACAGACTCCAGGAGAAGAAATACTAGCTTCAGCAATGCACTACTCTAGGCAGAGGTGGAACTCCCATGAGCCCGAGGCATTATACTTTTGATTACTAAATGCTAGAAGTTAGCCATGTCCTGCCTCTGGGCTTCCCTATTCTCTTATGAGCCCATCTGGCTTTTGAGAGTGACCTCAGGAGGCTCTGCTCCTTTCCCTCTATATATATGAAGCAGATACATAGAGCGACTAAACAACAAGGACCAAATTATTAAAGGTAGAAGCACTTATGAGTTCAGATCTTAAAAAACCAATCTGTCTTCTTCCAGACGTGTTCTCAACTGTCCGCAATCAAGTTGCCATCTTTGCCTTGCTCTCATTTAAACTCAGAAATAAAATTTTAAGTTCTTAGTTGTAGCATTGGCCCTACTTCGTTGTAACCTTTTATTTACAACTTTTATTATTTTATTTTATAATCTTACTATCTCACTGTTTTATTATTACTATTTTATGGCATTTTATGGCACTGTTACGTTATGTTATGACCTGTGGTTACAACAATAAACTTATTGATTGAGGTACAAAGAGACAGGCCTCTCAGCAAAGGCATGATAACTGCAGAATTCCTTTCTGATGTCTGTTCACTCCCCCTGCCCCACTTCTTGCCTTTTAATTAGTAAAGGCTTTTAGATTCTGGCCAGCTTTTCCATGGTGATCTACATTGCAATGTTTTGCTGAAGTCCTAAGGTCTCTGCCTCTTGCTCCTTTAAGCACTGTTAAGGAATATGTCATTTTGCTTTGTTTTCCATATTTTGTTGTAAAACTCTGGGATTACTTGAAGGGGAAGGTGTAAGTATTCTCCCCAAAGCCGACTGGGGAAGATCTACCTGGGGGCAGGGGCTGGATGAGGTTGGGGTTATGGGGGCACAGATTGGACACACTCTCCTAGAAGCTGAGCTCCTCAGGGCCTTGGGCATTACAAAAGCACCTGGTCCTGACAGGTTACACCCAAGGGCACAGTGGGAATTGTCAGCGATATTCTTGTCTAAATTGGCCTTCATTTTTGAGGCCTCGTGGAAATCAGGAGGACACGGGAAGATTGAAGTGTAGCATTTGTGGTCCCACTCCTCAGAAAGGAGGAGACAAGAGGAATTACAGGCCAGTTAGCCTAATGTCCATTCTAGGAAAGATGATGGAAAAGCCCATAATAAGGAAAGCTCTAGAAACCTTAGATAGGGAAAAGGGGTTGGCAGTCACGCAACATGGCTTTGGCAGAAATGGGTCTCGCCAGACAAACGTTGAGGAGTTCTATGACAAGGTTTTGGGGTGGCTGGACGGAGGGGGTGTGGTGCATGCGGTCCACCTGGATTTCAGCAAGGCCTTTGACAAAGTGCTGCATGATACCCTGGTTGTGAAACTGATGATCAGTGCAGTGTCCAGTGTCCAAGGCATGGTTGTCCGAGTGCAAGCGGAGGGAGATTACCAGCAGGGATTCCGCAGAATCGTAGCTGGTGGCGAGTAGAGTCCTCCAGGACTCAGTTCTGGGACCGATCCTGCTCGACATCTTTATCAATGCACTGGAGGAGGGAATAGCTAGTCTGCTGGCCAGATTTGCAGATAATCCCGAAGTGGGAGTGGGAACCACAACTGAGGAGCAGGTGCATCAAGAGACTGCGGAAGTCAGTGGGGGACAACAGGATGGCGTTCAGCGCAGATAAGTGCAAGGTCTTGCACTTGGGACTCGGGAATAGGTGCCATAGGTACAGGAAGGGAGAGAAGTGGCTGGAGAGCAGCACTTGAGAAAGGGATCTCGGGGTGCTGGTTGACTGCAGGCTAAACATGAGCCAGCAGTGTGACATGCTTGGATGTCAGGAAGTACTTTCTGACGGTTAGGACTTCTAGGAGATGGAATGGGCTTCCAAGGGAGGTGGTTGAGGCCCCATCACTGAGGGTGTTCAAGGAAAGATTGGACAACCGCATGTTGGAGATTACATGAGCAGAGCTGGCTGGAGCTGGGGTCAGACTAGATGGCCCAGGAGACCCCCTTCTGATTCACTCTGTTTCTAGAGTGGACAGATAAATATTATATATAATCATCTATAACACACACATATATAAATAAAGCTATTAAATGAAGAGCTTCACATAAATTAAGTATGCCTTTACATCTAAGAGTTCCTGAGCATGGACTGTGATGAGCCACAGCTCAGTGCAAGAGCACATGCCTTGCATGCAGAAGGTCCTCGGTTTAATCCCTGGCATCTCCAGGCCGGACTAGGAAAGACCCTAATCCACGACCTTGGAGAACTGCTTCCAGTAAGCGGAGACAATGCCCAATTCTGCAGGTCTGGGTTTTGCAAGACAGCAGTCTGTGTTCCAGCTTTACTTGGTAAATTTGAAGTATGCCTATGAGCAATGAGATTTCTCACACAGTGTAGGTCTGCTTCTGTTGGAATTTCCCATTTTTAATGCTTCCCTTATGCTTGTATTATCACTTAACTACCGCATGTCATGAAGTGTCTCCAGTGTGTAAAAACTGCATTTAACCTCCATTGTTGTTTCTGAAATCCCACAAGCCCTTTTTTCATTCTTTTACAGAACTTTAGACCTGCTGGAGGGTCTATTCTGCACAACCCAGGGGCCATGTTGTAAGTGCTATCAACAGCATGTTGGGGAAGGGAGGGTGTAGCCTGGTGATGCAGGGCACTCTCTTGCCAGTGCAGCACCTGCCCCCGGCTCACCCCAAAACCCGCAGTGAGTACAGCTTCTCTGTCTGCAGTGAGTACAGCAACCAAAGATACGAAGTCAGCCACGTTCATAAAGTGGAGTGTGTGGTACCCTGGCTGAATGATGCCCTCGTTTTCTTTACAGTATCCCTTCAGCTATGCCAGCAGCTAAAAGACAAGGTAAGGTGGCTGAAAGAAAATACACGGTTGATAAAGAACATTCCCTGCTTTGCGCCTTGGGGATGCTGTTGATACTTTGGTTTGTCTGAGTGATCAGTTTGAGAATGCAAATTTATCTGGTGCTGAAAGAGGGGATACTGGGGGTAAGGAAAATGGAATTGAATTGTGTGAGTCTAGAAACACAAGCCCTGCTTTCGCAATTGTATAGTACAGCAGACTCCACAGTTCATATGGTCCAGATGGCTTCTGCAAAGGCTGCCCATCTTCAGAATGAGTCAAAAACAAAGATGGCTCATAGTCCCGTGGAGGCAGATGAGTTTTATTCCCATAGTTCCAGCTTGAGGGATTGGGTTGCTGAGACTGAGAGCGCCTCTGGACTCATGGCGGAGGCAACACCTGAGCCAAGGATCCCATTGACAGCCCAGGTTTGGCTTCCACACCAACTAGCTCTGCAGATGGTGTGGGATTTTGTGAGCTGTGTGGCAGCTCTGAAATGAATGCATGTATTGGTATAAGAGCACTTCCTTCTTCATCATGATTTTGGACATTCAGTGCCCTGCTCTTTGTCACATCTTCCCAGAGTGTCTTCCAGTAAAAAATGCTAATAGTCAAAAGTGATAACAATTACAGCAAAATAACAAAGCTACCCAGATAAAAACCAGCAGATTTTAAAGATCCCATGAACTTACTTTTACTTCTTATCGTCACATAGTGCCCAAGAAATTTAACAGCAAAAGCACATGTTTTAAATTCAATTAAGTCTGATCATAAGACAGGGTATACAGCTTTTAAATAAAAAACACTGCTGTGGGGGCCATGACTCAATGGTGGAACACATGCTTTGCTGGCGAAAGGTTGTAGGATTAGTCCTTGACATCTTCAGTTAAAAAGATTTTGAACTAGCAGGATGCATTCTGTTTCAGAGTGGACTCTTCTGGGCTAGGCAGGCCAATGCTCTGTTTCTGCATAAGGCACTAATTTACTAACCATTAGACACCAAGAGAAAATCAATTTTAGTTTCGTATTGTTAGTACCCTCACCCATATTAATAGGGTAAAACTTGCAGAAGCACACAAGAACTAAGATGGGCATGTTGTGGTTTTATGCAAAGAAAATAAGGTTAAGGAAAAGTTGCTCACTTGGAATCATCCTCATATGGAGCAAATTTGATCCTATTTCTGATAGCTTTTTCTATTCTTGTTTTCCAGATTGCTGTATTTTCTGGCTATTGGAACTACAAGCTGTACTGATCCTGTCCATTTGCAGGTTCAGCCATTCTCTTACAGGGAGAGAAAAAAATCGTTGTATAAGCAGTATATGCATGGTGTTGTAGGATCCCACCACTCACGGTGTCTGCCGGATAAGGCACCATGCCCAGTGCTGGCATCCTTGTGTTACTGTTTATTAGCACTTTAGAAACACACACATTTCCTTCCACGTGCATGAAGGCTAGGGTTCAGCTTATCCCGGAAACACTACTTAGATCTCACTCTGCTAGTGGGTACAGGGTGCCTAGCGCCTAGAGCCAGGACTGTATTGGCAGAGCCCCCTGGTCCATGCCTGGGGCCTGCCTTGGATGGCAAGGAGGTGGTCTTGTCCCCACAAGGAGTATTCCTTTCTCTAGCATTTCCTTGTCATCGTGTGGATGTGCTGCTGATCCCCCAGCCGTGTGCACAAATGTGACTATTCATCCAGAGCCGCAGGGAACCATTTCTTTTGGTGGTGGGCTAAAGGATGCTTTCCATAAGCAAAAGCACCACCTTTGTCAGGTCTTCCAGTGGGCCTTTTTCGCCCATCTGCCCTCGAGAGATGCAAACTAAACATCTTGGCGGCAGAAGTTGGTTGCTGCTAACCTTGTATGAATCATTCCTCAAACCAATCCACTGCTGTGAAATAAAGATCCCTAAACGTTGTGATGCGCAACTGTCTTTGGAGGAGATCTGGCCCTGCTATCGGAGCCCAGGGCAAATTCTGTGCTAAGGCAAGGCCAAAGCTTATTCCCTACACTTCAAGTGCTGGCAAGTATGCATTCACCTTCTGTATTGCTTTCTCCATAGCACAAAATAAGCAGACTTTCTCTCCACCCACTGCATCTACTGAACATTCAAAGGCAACCTAAAGAAATGCTGATGTCCCATTTATTCAACATAAATACTAATTGCTGCTAGAAAACAAGGATAAAGATTCACAGTGATTTGGTTACATTTCCCAGCAGAATGAAAACAAATTGTCTTGGCTCTGTAAAGAGTGGCAGATCTTCGGCTGGTGCAAGCTTGTGCGGGCAAGAGCTGGCCTTCTGAGCCGTATGGACCGCTCTTCTCCGTTGGCCTGTGCCCTCATGCTACTGGAAGAGGAGGAGCAGAATCCAAATTTGTACAAGATGAAAGCCGACTCCATTCCTAACGGCATTTGTTCAGATGGACACCTTTTCCGCCATGGTTGTATACATGTGGTAGGAGAGTGCGTCTTGCCCCGGTGCCAGCTGCTCAGGGTGGGCAGAGATCTCGTTGCCATGATTAGAAACAGCTCATAAATGCAAGATGCAGGCTGAGGATCATTACAATTTTTGCATTCAAGCCACTAGAGGCTCCCCTGTCATACACTGCCTCTCTAGCCATGTCCAATTTACAATTAATTCCTTTATAACAAAAAAGATTCAGCAAATCACACACTTCCTTCTGGTTGCATAGGCATTCCATCATGGCAGGCTAAGGCTCCAGGCCTTTGTTATCAATGCCGACTTTTCTTCTGGGGACCTGCATACATGAAAGCCACGTTAAAGTCTCAGGCAGCAGTGTAAATAGGACTACTAAGCAAACCAGCTACAGCAGGAGTGAGACCTGTGACCCTTCAGATGCTGACCTATAACTCACATCTTCCCTGTCTGTCAGCCATGTTGGCTGGGGTTGATAGGAAGTAGAGTCCAATAACCTCTGGAAAAGCACCTCCCTCTACCCCCAGTAGGCAGATGTTTTCTTCTGCTCTTTCTCAGGTTGACCTGCAACTCTGGCTCAGTTTTGGCATAGCTGCAGCTAAGAGCTGTTACCAGACTCGGAGGTTCCTTTTGGCCTGCTGCTGGCTGTGGAGGGTCCCACCTTAATGCACTGGCTTAGCCTGGAGAATGTGTTTCTCCAGCTCAGTTCCTGCAGGGCCCACTTGAGAGGGCCCACAGAAACTACTGCAGCTCACCAGGCACAAAAGGCCGAGGGAGCTAGAGTTTGGCAGAATCAGCTGGCAGTGACTGGTAATTTTCTGTCGGATCTTTAGGACCAGCAGTGTTCAAAGCTCCTCTCTGGGGAGTGTCCCTTTGTATCTACCAGAGAACCACTGTGCTTTACAGAGAATTCTAGGAGGTGCGTTCTAGGAGTTTAGGCCTGGCAGGCCTCACCCTTAGTCTGTATGATCCTAGTGTGACCTGGAACATGCTCTGCTTTTTTCAGGCAGAGCAACTGGGGAAGATCAGTAATTACCCTCTATGTGTTACGAATCTCACTGAGGAACCTTCCCAGTGATTTCCCAGCAGTTGCTCTTCTGCACAAATGTTGAGGAAAGTCCAGAAACCCAGTTAAGAGCATCTCCATAGCAAGCACAAATGTATTTAAACCTTTAGCTTCTTCAGTGCACTGCAGTTAAAGTGCAAACCTCTGACCAACATTTGAGCGATCCCACAGCACCACAGAAGACATTTTGAAATCTCTTCAAGACTTGTCCAAATCTATAATCTCATACAATCGTGCGACAGCTTTAAAAACAAAATCCGGTGTCATGGGCATGTGGATACATTTCAGAATGTCATGTCATAAAAATACAATTAGAAGGGTTCTCCTAGTGACTCAGCCTGGTACAGGAGTAGAAGTAGCCCAGTCCGCTAACACATCTTCCCAAGTGATTCTTTTGCAAAAATATCTGATGTACTTTGCACTTGAGTGAGTAAGCCCACGGTGCTAAGGTGAGGATTTGGCCCCAGGTCTGCATGCCACCAGGTGACTGGTTACATCACCGCAGTTTCCTCTATGCTTGCAATACTAGATCGGGATGCTAGACGCTTACCTTTTCATAAGATGGGGAAGAGTTGCAATCACAGCAGCAGCAAAAACACTGGATGAGCACAAGGAGGGCCATCAAGAGAACCACACCTGGCAGAGAGAATCAACAAGATCAGAAGTGGGGAAGCCCCACCTCCAGCCTGTTTTTAGACTACAGATTTCAGGAAACTACTAAAGGAAGAAGAAAACGATCCATTTATGTCCTGCCTTCTTTGGGATGTGTGGAGGTGGCCTTCCCTTCCCTTCAGGCAATGCATGAACACAGAACTGCTTAGCTTCAGAAAAATTGTTTTCAAACAGATGTTAACTTTTGTTTTAACACTGGGTGGGAGCCATTTGAATTTTCCAGCTTGACTAGCAAAGCCTGTATCGATCTGCCCAAGTTGGCAAATAGCTCGCTTCCGCGGATGGTGAACACATCATCGAGGCACAGAAACGGCAGCCGGTAAGAAAAGTCGGCTGCTTTTTTCCTCCTCCTCCACAACTTACCAATGAAAGTAAAGAAAATGGCAAACGCTGCAATGTCCCAAGGGGTCTGGAACATCTCCTTGCTCTCCAGTCGGCTGAGAGCATCGTTGATCTGGTCACTTAGGTCTTGGCCAAAGTTTCCCCCCATTTTTTTCTTCTTGGTGTGTTCTTTCAAATGTCTTGTTATGTCTGCAGACAGGAAAAGGGAAAGATAAGCACACCATTATGGAAATGGGGCTAGCCAAGGGCATCTGTGACACCACAGATTTACTGGAAATGTGTGGATCCCTATCTGGCCTACATCAAATTCACAAGCCATAACCCTTCCCACCTGATGTCCAGATCAGTCTCTGAACTTTAGAAAGCGCTCAAATACATTTAACTTTTTTATACACAATATCCTGCCTCTGTGCATTTTATTACCCAATTTTTGAAGCAATAATTGTATTGCCTAATGTGGGACACATCAGTAATCATTCTGATCCAGGAAGTGTAATAGAGGTTGGTTCATTTAAAAATGTAGACCAAACAAAATTCCCTCCCATTCTTAATATTAACTTAAGCACCATACACATAGCTCTCCCTGAAAGATAGATGCAATTCAAAAGCTCTTGGCTCTGATAGCTATTTTTGCACATAAAAAACTTTGTTTCAATTTTGGTTTTTTATTATTGCCCTTGGTTTTAAGGTGTTCTTCCAATTCATGCAAGGGAACATTCCTGTTGGACTCCCACCCCCACCCCAGGTTTATCTGCAATGCTTCCTCCATCTTCAAAGGGGATAGTAGGGATACACAGAAGAGGAGTTCAGCTGGAATATGTTTGTGTTGTTTTCTTATGGCATGGTGCTCAAAGCAGTGCTCTTTTTTTGGGGGGGGGTGTTGGTTTTTTACATTAAATCAAAGCTAAAATGCAAGAGCAAACCAGGAGTGCTTGCAGCAGCTGGAACTGGAAAAGGTGTTATCTAGGAGGACACATCAAAATAAGAGTTAGATTTCATGGCAGCCGCTTCCTTGATTGTTGGAGCAGAGGGAAACCAGGGGTCGCATAGGTGCCACTGGGCAGGCTGCCAATGATGGGACCTGTAGTCCCAACACTTCTGGAGGGCACCAGATTGAGAAAGGGTGCATTAGGCTGAGTGGAGTTTTCTATTTTATATCCTGCCCTTCTTCCTCCGAAAAGAAAGTCAGTGCAACTTGCAAGAGCCTCCTTCACGTTATCCTTGCACAGCCCTGTGAGGTAGGACAGGACGAGTGTCTGAAGCAAAGCGGGGGCCAGAACGCAGCTCCAGGGAGCGGCGCTGGGCAGCGGCGGGCGGGCGGGCGCAGGAAGACGGCGCCGGGACGCAGGGCTCGGTGCTCCCCGGCCTGCCCCCCCCCCCCCCGTCAGCGCGCGGAGCGAAGGCCAGCAAGCGGTCCAGCCGGCACAGCTGGGGGCGCGGGAGGCGACCGCCCTCTCCCCGTTCGCGCGGCCCCTCTCCCTGCGACCAACTCGGCGCGGCTTTTCCTCCCGCTGCTCTCCGGCTTAGCCCCACAACAGCCCTGCGAGGGAGGCCGGGCCGAGCGCCGCCCCCTGGGCTCCGTGGCCGCGCGGGGACTGGAGCGCGGGGCGCCCGAGCCCCACCCCGCGCCAGCCGGCTCGGCGCGCCCGCAGCCCCCCTTCCCTCCGGCACGCCCCCAGCCGCGCGCGTTCGCGGGACGCCAGGCGAAGGCCCTCCCCGGCCTGGCCGCGGGGGGCGCGGGACCCCCAGCGCCTCCTCCGGGGCCGCACAGAGCCCGCGCTCCGCAGGGACACGCCGCGGGCCGCGCGGTTCCCACAGGCAGCGCCGCCCGGGAACACAGCGCGGCGTTGCCAGCGCCTTCCCGTTGCTCGCCGGGCGCCTTCCCGAGGGCGAGCCCGGCGCCCCGGCGCCCCTGGCCGTTCGCGCCTTCCCCGCCCGGCACAAACGAGCCCCGGTTTGCCGGGCGAGGCAGTGGCTCCCCGCCGGGCGACCAAGGGGCGGCGGAGGCGCTGCGCGCTCTGCGTGGGGCTCGAGGGGCAAGCGGGGCTAGGCCCGAGCGCTCCCGGGACGTTTCCCTGCTGGACTCCTTTACCTGGAGGGCCCCTTCTCCGGCTGCTTCTGCCCGCGCTCTGCCGAGGGCAGGGCTGCCGCCTCGCTTCCTTGTTCCTGCCCGGGCCCAAGGCAGGTGGTTGGTCTAGAAGCCACCGGAGCCCAAGCGAAGGGCAGGCACGCCTTCCTCTCCTGCTCCGGGGCTGGGCAAACCTCAGGCTTGTCACGTCTCCTTAGTTAGCTTTGCTTTGTATCTTTAAAAAAAAACAAAGCAAAACTACAACCTCAAGATCCAGGCTTGGGGCGTATAAAAGGCCTTAGAATTAGCGCACAGGTTCCTCCAAACACATCCCGGCCTCGGGAGTTCAGTGTTGGTACTGATTCCACTTTTGGTTACCCAAATGCACTTCAGCTGAGCTGCCTAAATTTGGGGCAGCTGCTGCGTTGTTGAGCACCTGTGCCTGCATCAGTTGCTCTCGGTGATGCTGCACAGATCAGCTGGGGCTCCCCAGTAGGACCTGGGGGACCCTGTGCTGGGGAAAGGAGGAGCAGGCTCCTGTGGCATCAGCTGATGATAAAAAGCCGCTCCCCCCACCAAAGGGACAGTTCGGATCTAGCCAAATAACTTCAAAACACTTCAAAGCAAGGCTCATCCGTCGCACACCTGCAGCAACTGACTGTTTATCAACTTGTTTATGCATTGCTGCTTCCTCCCGGCCCCCTTTTGGGTTGAGTGTGTGTGAAACGGTTTAGGCAGGGGCCTTGAAACCAAGGCCTGTTCTGGGCCGAGTCTTCCCTCTTTGAGAGCCACACACCTGGAAGGATTCCAGGTGGCTCTATTTTCCTTGGCACATTTCTGTGCTGGGGAAGAGAAGGAGGAAACAAGCCGGGAGTACAAAGGTTGCATTTCTGCTTGAAAGGACTTTGCTGGACTATCTGGAGGAGGAAGGGAGGCCGCGGCGTTTGTGCCGCGGGGGTGGGCAAAGGCCTCTCCTGCCTTTCTCGAGATGGAGATGGTTCAAGCAACTCGACTGTGCCTCTCTTTTTGTTCCTGTGACTGCGTTGGCACCGGGCTGGCTGCAGAGCCTCCCCAACGGGCGGGAGGGGCCCCTCCTTGCAGCTCTGCCTGGGCCGAGGCAGGCATGAGCGACCAGCCATCTGGGGACTGGGATCCCAGCAGCTCCCTGGGGCAGGGGAGACATTCCTGCAGAGAGGGGCCCTGATCAATTAAAAATCATGTTCTGTAGCCAGCTCAAATATTTAGTGGTACGCCCCCCCCCCCCCGTGGTGGGGTGTGATGCAGGCCTGGAAGAGGTGAATGAGCACAGCCTGTAGAGTCAACAGGAAGCGCACCCTTGTCTCCCACTGAGAAACAGACATTCATGAAGGGCGAGCTGGAAAGCTGCTCCTGGGGGGCTGGAAGTCTAGGTAACATTTGCCACAGGGTGGGCGACTTGTAGGCCAAAATGGTGGGTGGGCCACAACTCCCATCCTCCCTCACTATTGGTTTTGATGCTTAGGCCTGATGGGAATTTTTTTTAGTTGAAATATTTTATGCCACTCCCCAGTCAAAAAGTCTTCCATAATACCTTGCCTGTGCTCACTAAGCAAGATAGCCCCGACCTGCAGGTTGATAAGCCAGTGTGGCGTAGTGGTTAAGAGCACGGGACTGGGACTCGGGCGATCTGGGTTCTAGTCCCCGCTCAGCCATGGAGCCAACTGGGTGACTTTGGGCCAGTCACAGACCCTCAGCCCAACCTCCCTCACAGGGTTGTTGTTGTGGGGATAAGATGGAGGAGGAGAATGATGTAAGCTGCCTTGAGCCCTTTGTAGGAAAAAGGCAGGATATAAATCGGAAATAAATAAAATAAGCTAACTAGAAATGGCATCCAAGGAAAACAAATGGGGAGGCTGGCGAGAGAAAGGAAAGCAGTCGTTTTGCAGAACTGCCCTGTCTCATTTCCCTCAGCTCAGCCTCCTGGAATGGCCCGACTGGCCTAACAGATGGGGGCTGAGCTCTCACGGAGGCAGCTCCAGCAGGGCTGGGACTGCAGGAAGGAACATCCCAGGCTCCACATGCTGCCTGTTGCTGTTTTACTAGATTGCAGGTGGGTGAGGGGGGATCACCTTTGGGTGCACTCCCATATACCCCATAATATTATTTGGAGGCAGTCTTTCAGGATGGAGCCCTCTTAAGGAAGTGTGTGAGCTAAAAGCCATGCAAAGTGCATGCTAAGATGATCAGCAAGTACATATTCATTAGAAACAACAGCCTCGAATTTTAGGGAAGATGGCTCTGGTGCACTAGCTTTCTACATGAGGGGACTTCAGGTACATGAGGGGTGTCACATGGAGATGGGTAGAGACCTGTTCTCCCCTGCAGAGGAGGGCAGGATGTGCCCCAACGGAGCAAAGCTCAGGGAATCAAGGTTCCATTTGGAGGCCAGGAAGCACTTCCTGACAGTTAGGACCCCGAGGGTGTGGAATGGGCTTCCCCGGGAGGTGGTTGAGGCCCCCTCAGTGAGGGTGTTCAAAGATAGGCTGGACGTGCACATGGTGGGCATGTCGTGAGCGGAGCCGGCTGGAGCTGGGGGGTCAGACTAGATGGCCCGGGAGGCCCCTTCTGACTCGCTCTGTTTCTCTGTTATTTGTGGGGGGAGGGGGGGCATAAAAAAGCGACCCTTCCCTTTTCAGGGGCTGGACCTCTGCATCAGCCCTTTTCTTTGCTGGCCTGCGCTTTGAGGTGCTCGCACTGGTACCCAAGAAGAACTGAAAGCTGGTTTATGCCAAGTGTCCTGCAGAACAGAAGCCCAGCCAAGAAGGGGCCCTCCTCCACTTCTGTTATTTGAGAAGACCTGCACAGGGAGCAAACAGGCGCCACCGATCGCTTCCTCGCAGTGCAGATGCTGCCAGGACGGTTGGCTGCTTGAGGGGAAGGGCAAGATGCCATGCCAGCTGCTGGACAGCTCGTTGGATCTTCTTTCAGCTCTGGGCGTTGGGTAGCACCTTCAGCCCCACCAGTTAGTGGCAGGATAACTTAGGGGGCAGAGGGCAAGCACAGCGGCATCTTCCAACCAGTTGCTGCCCCATCCAAGCATCTGTCGCCTGAGGCAGTGGCTTTGCCCTCACTCATGGAAGTGCCAACCCTGAGTGAACCAGTTCTTGGCTGTAATATAATGTAGGATCCTAGTCACCAGCGAGGGACACAAGGAAGAAAAGGATGGTTCCGGCCTTAATGCCTTCTGCATTAAGGCCCTGCCTGCAAAGCCCCCGGGATCCCCTGCCGCAGATGAGATAGCCTGGACAGTAACAGTGCCCCTTAATCAAGGAGAAAAATTCAGGTGTAATTTCCTGGAATTCCAGCAGGTGGTGCCATTGTGTTGTTTATTATGCAGGGAGATGAGCTTTGAGGATTTGACTTTAAGGAATCTACAGATACCCTTCCCTTCTGCTGAAGAGAAATACAGACTAGACTGTTGTTTTCGGGATTAATTTATTAGACTTTGTAGTTATTTCTTTTGGGCTCTTTAGTATTTTTAATCTATGACTTTATTGTTGCATGGTAGGTATTTTTATATTTGTTTTTTCTATTTATTTTGGAAATGTATTTGGAATTCCAATGTATTTAGAAATGCACGTTTGTTTTTATTGTTGGAAATGTAAACTGCCGAGAGACCCCTATGGGCTATGGGTGTGATACAGAAGTAGAAATAATAGTGGCTGAATATGGATTGTGTGTGGGTTGCCATTGAATTGTGGGTAGATGCTGTCTGAATCCAGCTATGCTAACAAGTCATAGAGAATCCATGACTTTTGTTGGTTTGTGAATTGTGGGTTGTTCAGCATGGTGTATTATTTCATCCTCGTTCCAGCAACCCAACACGCTGCACTTTTAGACAGTTCTCTTGTCTAAAAACTAAAACTATTTCATTCATTTTCTTTTATGAAAACTTTTATATACCATTTGCTTAGCCAGAGGCGCTCTGAATGGTTTACAGCAAGAAAAAGAAAACCAAAACCAATCAAAAGAAGAAGAAAAACCACAATAAAATCAAGTTTAAAAAAATGACTTAAGATCAGTGCCAGGTGTTCTAGCAATATTAAATACAATATAAAATGAGACATGACTTTTCCTATTTAACAGTTAAAGTACTGTAGAATGTCAATGCCAAGTTTTAGCCTGGCCCCCAAAAGCATGAAAACCTGGCTCCGGGCTCCCCTCCCTGGGCAGCGCATCCCACAGCCGGGGCGCCCCAGCCAAGAAGGCCCTCATTTCCGCTCGTCCTTGCCATGGGTTGGCGAAGGATTGGGGCTCCCAAGCTGAGCTGTCTCTACCACGAGGCGGGAGCGAGGCTGTGGCAGCACAGGTGTTTGGGGAAGCGGTGAAGCTGATTGTCCCAGCACAGCGATGGCTCTTGTCTGTTGAGCGCGAGTAGCGCACCCTCCGCTTCTTTCCTAGAGAAACTGCCTCAAACCATCCCCACGGCCCCAGAGCCCCAGGCTGCTTTCCACTTGCTCTTTCGTCCTGCCAGGAAGGTGGCCACACGAGGCAGGGGATTCTCGGTGGTGGCACCCCATCGCTGGCACTTCCTGCGCGCTCATACCAAGGTTTGTTCCCATGGCCCACTTCCCTGAGGAAAGGCCAAGGTCGCTCTCGTTTGCTCACTGCCGGGCACGTCGACGGGCATTTTGTGCATGCACCACAACGCTCCTCTTCGGCCCCCGGCGCTTCCTGAGAGTCAACCACTCTCATCACTGAAAACAATCAGAGAAGGCAATCCCGAAATGACAGCGTACGAGCCAATTATATTTTTAAATCAAGTAGAGAACAGAGTCAGAGAAATAGGATTTATGACAGCATGATTAGGACTCAGAGAAAAATATTTCCCTCCTCCCGCTCTCTTTGTGCTTCTCAGAATTCATCTCCAGAACTGAAGACTTATCCTTTAGCTCTCCACCGTGGCCTCGTTCAAGCTGCCAAAACACTATTAATGGGTTATAAAGCCACCTACCAGGTCTGGCGTCTTTTGCATGAACTGGTAAGAAACAGCTTCCTTTCCCCTTCCAACTGTGGTTTCTGATGCCTCCGTCGCTCCTTCCAGTTGCAGTTCTTTATTAT